CAATCCCATCATCAGAAGGTATATCTTCGTTCTATTGATACCCTATAGCGGAATTTCAGCTTTTAAATAAGTGAAAGGGTCCATCATAGCGAGGCAGCCACGCATTGACTAAGCATTTTCAGGCTCTCGTGTACTCATATTGGTGTGTGTTGATTAACGAGAGAACACCGCATTTCCTCCTGCAGCTATTAAAGGCTTATATTACAATCAGCCTGGCCATTCCTGCAAGGACATCCGGGACTCCGGATATTCCGTTGGAGATGGGGAGTACTGGATCGACCCTGAGAAGAACGGAAACCCTTTAAAGGTCTACTGTGACATGACAACTGATGGAGGTAAGACGAAAATGCTCGATCATGTTAAAACGTAAAGGAACTGAATTGGGTTTGAGTTTCTGAAATTCTACTTCATGAAACAGCCTTGATGTTTGATGCACAAAGTATTTACTTCATCTTGGTTGATGTTGGCTTCGTTTTGCACAGGAGGCTGGCTTCTTGTTTCCAACGTTGTGGTAGACGACCCATCCTCGCGACAGCTTTGGATTGCGTCATCATACCGCGAGATCAGCAACTGCCACTGGAACAAAACGTTGTTCATCACAGAATATGCCATGAAAGAACTGAGAACAAACTTGTCTTTCACTCAGCTGAGATTCCACTGCAACAAACAAAAAGGACGAATGATCCACGTGACCACAACTGCAAACAGCTCTGGTGAAGCTGTAGTCCAGTACTTCAGCGGTCAGACGGATACGCGACCTTTGGCGTGTGGCTCGTTTAATAGAATGAAAGATGATAACTCCAATATAACTGGAGTCTGTCACCAATGGCAAGGCCAGAAGTGGGGTCGTCTATTGGCGGCAAATGGGACATTGAACGACCATGCCTTTTATGTCAGTTACAAATATCACTGGTCGTTGACTCCTGGAGATCAAAGATGGGAGTGTGACGACTATATTTATGACGGATTTTTTGCATTGTCCTCTGGCGATTTCTGGAAAGTCTTTGTTCGTTAAGGCCTGGAAACACCTACATCCGCTTCCACTTTTCCTGTGAAACTTTTCTCTGCAAAGTAAGACATCATGATCATCGGATAACTGTAACGAGCTTTCAAACTTTTTTTATTTGTTTTTTATCATTCGAACAATTTGCGAGGTTTTCGTTTTTATATTTCGTGTGTTAGTTTGTGGCCTGAATGTCACGGAGGAGTTGGTATTTCACCCCTTAAATACCATAGTAGTGACTAACTTATAACTTCTCCATACAGTATCACCCTTGAATTAAATATTGAGGTCATAGGAATAAAGGAAATGATCACCAGCCTAGGAAGTCCATAACTGTCAAACAAATTCTCCTCGGCAGCACCATAGGAAATGTATAGAGAACAGAATGGTGAACATCCATACTGATGATAGGGTGTTAAGAGTTAAAATCTTTTTATCTTTCAAAGTAAACCCGACCCAAAAGATTTGTTCATCTATCTGTTTTTTCACCTTTTTTTTCGCGGGACGTCATTGTTTTATTGCCGCGAAGGAGGAGGGGGGAGGGAGGGTGTCAGGCGGGGCTGTTCGGAGGATTTTTGGGGAATCGCATGGTTTTCAGGCGAAGCTGAGATGATATTAGTCTTCGGTAACATAATATATAAAGGAAGGACTGTAGATAATCGTTTGCAAATGATGGAGGGGGGGAAGTATTCATATACTACGGAGCCTTAGGGGACTAGGTAGATTGTGTTGTAAAATCCTCCGACCGATCTCTACCCCAACCCTCTTCCCCCTTCTGGAGATAAGAAATGATTGGTCCCTTAGTACGGACAAGCGAGTCTTT